TGGTGACGATGTGATTACAAATTGCCTAAATTTTACCCCTTATTAAATAAGCACTTCCAGCCCCCTTAAACTAGAGTTATAAAAAAAGTTCTATCGAGTTCCACTGTTTTTTTTTCGACATATTCAAAACAATATCTCGTAACAAGTATAAAAATGTAAAATAGACGCCCACTTATTTCCCCTTTTATGAAATTGAGCGCATTATTTTTAGGTAGTCATGACAATTCCGCTGATAAGGAAATTAAAATAAAGAGAATAGAACTATTAATACTATTACAAAATGAATAGTTTTTTAATTTTTCATCGTATAAGTGTAATGAAAATTTATTGCACTATATAATAGACAAGTTGGTAATACTGAACTTTCTGAACATTGCACTAAGCAAATAAAATGTGTAATTAAAGTATTTGTCGCAAAGGTTTTTAAAAAATGGCTTGCTTGTAATTATATGTATGATCGTTTTAATACCAAGCATATGAAATGGATTGATGATGACTTGAAACTCCCTGAGGTACAGCTATTACGCTTTTGTTATCAGCACCCAAACGTCCAGAGAAAAATAGCCGAGGCAGACCAAAAAAATCTTTTGAAGAGATTTCTCAACGCATTAAACAAAGGCAAATTAATTCAATTTTATCGGAACATAGTTCAGAATAAGTGTGTTTAGCTGCAGGATCAAGTTTGGTGAAATCAGGGAGGAGAACTGCAGCACAAATTTTAAAATTAGCTATCAATACTACGCCCACTAGACTAAAAAAAATGAAATTGGTGCATGATTATCTGATTATATTATATTAATAATCTTCTGCATAATCTTCTATTACTATAAGACCATACAGCCTTGAAGAAGCCTTAGGTCTTATGGTTGATCTTGGATTAACAAAGGAAAATTATAATACGTTGCGACTTGGAGCAAGAGAAAGAGGTGCTGACATTTAGAAGAAATGTTATCCTGTAAATATTAAGATATCTGAAAACGAAGCTGTGGTACCACTGAGAGATGTTTTTATATATACTACACAATGTCTGGAACAAATGCAGGCCAATGTAATTCTCCAGAACATTTCGGATGATTGTGATATTATTGAAATTTATTATAAATGGAGAATAGATGGCGGCGGTGGACATAGTATTTATAAAAAATTTTTTGCAAATAATTCAGAATATGCGGATTCAAACATAATTTTATATACAATTATTTCACTACAAATGTGCAAATCATATGAAAACAACATAAAAAATATTTTGGAAAAATAGAGCACCGTCATCAATAAGGTATTGTCAACCAATTGGATTCAAATTTAAAAAAGAAAATTTTCAAAATATGAATGAAGTGTATAACGAAGTACCATCACAAATATCACTATTAAAACCCACAATAATTATACTAGGCGCCAAAGAAATAAAATTTAAACATGTTCCTATTATTACAATACTGGATGGAAAGACTGTCAATATTTTGACCGAGACTTTAAGTTCTCAAGCATTTAATGTTTGTAATGCTACTCCTAAAGATTAAAACAATTTAGAAAAAATAAAGAACAGAGTTTGTAATAAAGACACCTTCAAATATGGTATTTCTATAATACATGCCTATCTTAGATGCTATGAATATTTACTTCACATAGAATATAAATTAGAATTAGAAAATAAATAAATTAGAATTACAACAGTGGCAAGCGAGAGGGGAATATGTAAAAGAAAAAGTAAAGGAAAGAAAAAATAACATAGCGACTAACTTTTACAAAGAAATGGGTCTCGTTGATCAGCCAAAACAAGGTGGAAGTAATAGTAATGATGGTAACACTGCCCGAAATTTTTTTAAAAATTCTTCACTTGTTTCTCAAATAACTGGAATTGATAAAAAATTAATAAAAAGATTTTCAAATATACTTTGCGTTATTTCTTGTGGGCACTTTATCAAAAAAGAAATATTTAAAAATGATTGCTTTGAAACAGTACAAATGACTATTTCACCTTATGGTTAGTATAAAATGAGTGCCACTGTTCACAAACTACTAGTTCATGGAGCTGACATTATAAAATCTTTACCGTTACCAGTAGGGCAACTGTCAAAAGATGTAATTGAAAGTGCCCATAAAGAATACAAAACATTAAGAAAATATCACTCGAGAAAAAGTTTTAGAATCAATACAAATATTGACATATTTAACAGGATGCTGATATCTTAGGACCAGATCGCAACAAACACTCGAAAAAAACCTAAAAAGAACCAAACAAAATTTAATGAAGTTGTATTAGGTATGCTCAGATTGCCTTCATTTTGTGCTAGTGTTGATGATGAGGAGGTCGATTATGAGGATGACATGGATGTAAAATAATAGAATAAAGTCTGATTGTAAAATATAATTTGTATACGTATTACTTATCGATATCATTCATACAAAATTATTCAATACAGAAATTATTAAATGTAAATTATTTTTATTTATAATACTAATAATATTTGTATCCAACAGCAACGAACACTAACTATTTTTTTAAAAGATAATTATGAAAGTCTTTTTATATGCATTACAAATCATAAATTCGAAAAAAAATTCGTTTTATATTTTTGGCGTCATAATATAGTTAATTGGCTTTTATGTACGTCGCGGTGGACTCGTCATCGTCACCTGTGATCCCATCAGCTGTCTTTTTTTTTCAAATCGCCAAAATATTAAAATAAGTTATAACTATAGTCGGGAGCACGAAAAATGATCGCTGCTCGCCATGTACCAATCGGCTGTTTTTCTAAAGTGGTTATCAAATCTACGCTCATTGTTCATGTTATCGCCACAGATATATAAAAAACTATTTTTACGTATACCTATATCTGTGGTTATCGCTCATTATTTGTTTATTTGTGCCGTGAATACGATACGTAACAGCAGCGTGACGGTACAAAGTTGAGAACCAATGGTTACAACAGTGGATATGAACAACGGGTCGCCAACGCTCATTTTTCATGCTCCCGACTATAGTAGCAAATTCTTTAGAAAAAAATTAAAAAATAGGAAGAATTTTATCTGTCCATTAGATAGCGTCTTGTAAACGAACTATAAATGCTGTTATAAAAAAATTGTCGGCTCTTTGTGAACTTTTTAAATCTGCTTCAACAGATGTAATAAGGGATTCAAAAGAACGAAACAAATACAACGATTTAAAATTAATGAACTCCAGCATTGAATTTTTTAGTGTTCTTAAATGCAATGGCAGTCACTTTAGACAAACTAGGAGACTTATATGAGTATTTGTGAAGGTATACTATCACTTCTGTAGAAGCCAATAAAGCTAATAGAACAATAAGAGCATTATATTCAATGATAAGCGAGCCTGTACATATACTGGCCGACACTTTACAAGCGATTGGATGTTTATAAAAATATTCCCATTCAAAATAGGATAGCAAAATAAAATTTTAATTTTATCTGTTCACTAATTACAATTATAGTTTAACTCAATATCAATAAATTACTGATAATATACTATAGTATGGTTTATACATTATAGGTATATCATATAATCTATAAACTTTGTATATTGAAGATAATAGGAAATTAAAATACTTTATATAAGTACTATTATTATACTATTTACTATTAAATCATTGAGTATGTGGAAATTTCGATGAGGGGGGGTCCAGACCCGAACTCCTAACCCCCATATGCAGATTTACTCGATAGTCTTAGCATACTTAGATCTAAAAAAATGGTCCGTTTCCGAAAATGGTGAAGTCGAAAATATTAAATTTACAGATGATAAAATACCTCACATGTGTCTCCACTTTTAATTAAATAAAGATAATTATATTGATCACCGTTTTCGAATATACAAATTAGATAAGAGGATAAAGAATTCCTGATGACTTAAAAATACTTTTTTAAATCGCAGCTACTATTTCTATTTCTACAAGTGAGTGCGAGAAAAATTTCAGCTTAATTAATGAAATCATAGCCCCCCCCCAAATCTTCATTAAATATTATTAAGTAGAATCTCTGCATTATTATATTATGTACGTTTATAGTTATTCAAGGTTAGAGAAGGTACTGCTGATGACTGCAAACGCAAAAAAAAGAATGACTTAAAATTGTAGAAATTATTATAAATTATTAAATTTTAATTGTATATTTACATAGAATACAAATGTTATAATTAGATTTAATATTTTGTATTTTTATTATAAAAGCGTATCTAGCTGTTTAAAATTTAAGCCATGGGTCCCATCAACACGGATTTAATCATTTTCAAATAAAAATATCATATTTTCCTAAATTTGTTGCAAAATCATATTGCACAGTATTTAAAATACAAAATTGGATTATTAATACATTTTACTAACTATTTTGCCCATAATTGGGCCATAACACTCATACTATAAACATTTCAATGTTGTTCCTTCCACAGAATCTTGGACATCAATTAATATCCTTTGAATAAGAACTTTTATAGATAGTAGTATACCTAGTATTATATAAAATAAAATAAGCTACCTGCAAATTTTGTTCTATCAGCTGTAGTAAACATTAATTTACCAATTTCATTTTTGTCCCATAAATGAGTATTGCTGTATCTTACAATTAATTCATTGTCCTTCTCGTTCAATAAAGAATAAAATATGGTACTTTGAACTTAGAGGTATGGAGAAATATGAAAAGTAATAAAAATGTTATCTTTTTTTAATTACTTTTGGCTATATACTTTTTTAATATTCAGTATAAACCCAGCAGATAGTCCTATGGATAGTACATTCAGTGTCTAACAATTAATCTTGATTATTTTATCTGTAATAATCGGCAATTATAATGAAAATGATTTTATCGTTTTATCAATGTTATCACATATTGATAGATGCAAAAAAAAGGGCTAAATGTAGGCAATATTATATACGGATACAACATATTTTTTTTCGTGCGAAGATCCATTCGTATTTTTATAGATCTTATCAGACTGTTGTCTATAGATGGCGCAGAAAATTGTATTTGTTTTTCTGCCATGACGAAACCTTAAAGATATACTTTCATGAATTGCAAGTTTATAAAACAAGTCAATTGATACAAAATTCAAAAGTTGTCTATTGTGTTCTATTTACGGCAAGTTGATTGTTTAATACTAGTTTTCTAATTATTTTAGCCCAGGAGATCTTATATCCAAAATAATGTAAGTAATATTTGTTTGTGTGTTTTAGACTTGCTTCACTTTCACGTAACTCGTTTTAAAATATTTATAATTTGAATAAAACTATTATTATTGTTATTATTGCTTAAGTATATCAAGATGATGGACAATTTGGAACCTTTGACCACTGATGGTGGCCGTATAGTAAAAATGGAGGTAGATTACAGTTCTACATGCGATGAAAAAATTGCCATTGCCGAAAGTCTGGCAGCCAATGGTAAACTGCAAGAAGCATTAGATACCTTATTGATGTTGGAAAAACAAACAAGAACTGTAAGTTTACATTAATATCAGTTATACAAGCAATAACATATTCTATTACTTATTCACCTTCTCTAAACTATTTTAAATTGACTACCTTTGATTTCCCCTACTTGATAAGGTCTAGCTTATGTACACTAGCTAGTAAACTAATTCCTCATGTAACTCTAAGTTTCATTCGGTCATTTATTTTATATATAGTTAAGATACTTTTTCCTTAATAAATTAAATTTATAAATATAGGAATATGTAGGGACCTTATTAGTGGATTTTGGTGATTTTCAAGTGAAGAAAAGAATCTTTTATAGAAAACTTTTTCTCAATTGTTTTCATGCCTTGTTTTATGTTCTTTGTGAAGAGTTTGATTAGATACATAAGGTGGAGCATTGGTAATTTTGCGGAATGTGATGTTTTGGAATAAATGAATTTTATTTAGATTGATTTTCTTTGTAGTTCCTCAGAGTGATTACCTATGAGTCTATATTGGCTTAATGAGTGCTTTATAATTTAAAATTTTTGTGTGCAGATTGATAAATTAGTTTTTTGTAATCAACACTTTAAGTGTATAAACTTTGGAGTTATTGTTTGGACTTTATATAACATAAAAAATACATTAAAAAAGTTTAATTATTATAATAATTCATACATTTTTTTTAGTAATTATTCCATACTACCTAAATTTACTGTTTCTTGACATACTTTTAATTACCTACTGTTGCTCAAAAAAACATTTTAAATTAGTATCTTTTTCTCTTTCTTTAGTGGTTCTGGCCACTACAACTATTCTGTCATAGGTTCTTGCTTTTCTGTCTCAAACTCTGTTTACAGATTCTACATTTTTTATCATCTTCCCTTCTCAAATATAAATTGGCAAGTAGTCTTTTCCTATCTGGATCCACTGCTATAACTATATTCAATAGTGAATTCTGATTGTGCTATGCATAACCAGCCCATTATAATATTTGCCAAACTTTTTTCGGCCACGATCTACTAAAAATATACTTCACCTTTGAAGATCGACTTTCTTGGAAAAATTTTTTTATTATTAAATAATTATAATTATTAAGAAACATACTTGTTTAACGTGTATATAAACATACATAAAATATTATAAACTAATTACTAATTACTAAAAATAATATAATATACAGATAAAACTTATCGACAATTTGTTCATAACCACCATGATTAATTTTTGTTCACGTGGTCTAAAAATAAATTCTTATATGATTGACTCTTAAATCGTCCGTGATCGACCGTTTGGCCGTCCCTGCTATATGTGATTATTCATAATATTATTAAAAGGTATAAAAGTGTTAGTATATATATAGTGATCGGTGTTTACTATACTATTTAGTTAAAATATTTAATTATTCAGTTAGAATTATGTAGATTATTTATGAAAAATTAAGATATAAGTTTAAAATTCAATTTATGGTCCCATTATTTTCCTCAATGTGTTTATAATATTTTATATAATAATTTTAAAGGGATCTGATATGGCTTCAACTAGTCGTGTATTGGTTGCTATTGTACAACTGTGTTATAATGCTAAAGAATGGGCATTACTTAATGAACACATTGTTATGCTAACTAAAAGAAGATCACAATTAAAATTAGCAGTTGCTGCTATGGTTAGAGAATGCTGTACTTTCATAGATCAAACTCCAGATAAAGAGACGAAACTGAAGTTGATTGAATCTTTAAGAAATGTTACAGAAGGAAAGGTAAATTATTAATTATTAAGGCCTGGAATTCTAAGCATTTGCATATTTTTATATATTAAACTAAAAAGTAGCTGCTAGGTAAGACAGAAATTTGAATCTTAATCTAATGTGTTAGTATGCAAAATTAAATTTGGCATATTTTCGCATATTTGGAACATTTCAAATTATTGTGCATATTTTAGCATTTTTCTGAAATATAATGTATATATAGAAAAAAATATTACAAAGTTATTAATATTATTATTTATTACTTAGAGCATGATGTTTATCGTAAATTTCGTGAATCGTGCAGTTATATTATTTGATTTTTGTGTTATAATAAGATAAGATAAAATTTGCTAAAAGTATCAATACATTAGTAACTTTCCAGGTAACTAAAAATATTATAAAAATCCACTTGATTTGTTTGATTTGATTGATTTTCGTTTGTGACTTTTTGTTTAGATGAGTGAGTGTTCAAAATAATATTTAATTTCAATACAACATAAAGTTCTATACAGTTCAATAAAATGTATAAAATATAGTTGATATATTTTTAAGTATATTTTTTGTTGAATATTAATTATTTAATGAATTGTATACATTTTAAAATTAAATAAATTTAATAAATAATAATAACATGCATTTTTTTTACATATTTTTGCATATTTAGTATGTTTTTAGTGCATATAATTCTGGGCCCTATTAATTATATTATATCTCTAAATAAACATTTTTTTTAAATTTTATTACTCCTATAATTTAATTAAACTAAAATAATTATTTTTTGTTATTTAGATTTATGTAGAAGTAGAACGAGCTCGTCTTACACAAAAGTTGGCTAAAATTAAAGAGGATGAAGGAGATGTAACTGGTGCTGCAAATATCATCCAAGAACTGCAGGTGGAAACATATGGTTCAATGAAAAAACAAGAAAAAGTTGAACTGATCTTAGAACAGATGCGACTATGTTTGTCTAAGAAAGATTATATTCGTACACAAATTATCTCTAAGAAAATAAATACTAAATTTTTTGATGATGATAAACTTGAAATACAACAGCTTAAATTGAAATACTATAAGTATGATTAAATTGTTATTGTTTTTTAATAGTTTTTAACATAATTTTTCATATAGGTTGATGATTGAATTAGGAGAGCATGATAGTCTTTACTTAGATATTTGTCGCCACTACAGGGCTATTCAAGCTACTCCTGTAATTGTTGCCGATGAAGAAAAATGTCATGCTGCTTTAAAAAATGCTATTTTATACCTCATATTAGCCCCATACGATAATCATCAGTCTGATTTAACTCATAGAATTCTTGAGGATGAAGCCTTACAAAAAATACCTAAGTACAAGTGGGTATTATTTTCTTTTAATAAAATTATGTACCTACTATTGATATTTTATGTATAAAACCAACAGATCATTTCTGCAATTGTTTACTACAATGGAGTTAATTCAATGGAAAGAATTAAGCCAAGATTATGAAAAAGAACTAAAATCTGGATCCTTAGCAATAAACGTATTTTCGGTCAATACTGAAAAAGGAATTAAACGTTGGGCAGATCTCAAAAATAGAGTCGCTGAACATGTATGTAACAGAACTGAATATTTGTAATAAAATAGCGATAATTAGGGCTAGGATTTGTATGCAATAAAAAACTTTAAAATATGCATTTAAATTTTTATAAGATAAACACAAAAATATAGTTACAAAAAAAAAAAAATATTTATTGAAATACTTCAGTGATTTGTCTTAATATAATTGAAAAATAAAATAAAATTTATGTTTGATAAAAAAATCAAGTCTTATATTTTAATCAGCAGGACTAGAATGAAATACTAAATATTAATTTTAAGTTATAAGTATTAATTACGAAATATACTATAACATTTATTTTTCGCATTTTTATAATCAAAATATGCAATAATATTAATTTTATTCAATATATACAATAATATGCATTTTATCTAAAATATGCAAAAACATGCAAAATAAAAACACCATCATGAGGTGATTCGTGGACATTACTGACAAAATCAATAATTAAGTCGCAAAGAAAAACATGTTGCATACAAATCCTAGCCCTAGTGATAAGGATTCCCTTGATCAGTATTAATTTATTGATTTGTTACATCCTATTGCAATATTTCATCTGGCCAATTTAATTTATGATTTCCTATTCATTTCGATTATTAGAAATTGACAGATAGTGTTTTCTGTTGCCTTCTACATAGGGGAAGTAGGGTGGTCTTTCTCTCAGGACTGTCTCCTGTTCAGAGAGAGTGACAGAGTGTAAACCTAATAATATTTTTGTAAGCTGAATATTAAACATATTATTACTTTCTATGTATAAAAAAAAAATTATGATACTTCAATAACTATGAACTAAATAAGTTCATTGCTTCAGTATAAATTAGTTTATATTTTTACCAGAATGTACGAGTCATGGCCAAATACTATTCAAGAATTAAAGTGCTCCGTATGTCTCAGTTATTAGATATGACTTTAGAGGTATGATAAACATATTTTTAATCTTATTTATTTTAATTCTAAGAAATTACATATTTTTGCAGGATACTGAACAATTATTATCTAATATGGTAGTGGATAAATCAGTAAAAGCCAAAATTGATCGTCCTTCAGGAGTTGTCGAATTTTCAGTTGTCAAATCTGTCAATGAAGTATTGAATGAATGGTCATTTGGACTCAACGACCTTATGAAACTAGTTAACAATACTACCCACCTGATCAACAAAGAGCAGATGGTCCATAAACATTTGCTGTCTCATTAAACAATAATTTATATTTGTAAAAGTTCTTCATAAGCATAAATTTAATAGTACATTTTTTGTTTATTAAAATTATAATACTTTCTACTCGTCCAAAAACTCGTAATACATTTTATAGTTTAGGCGAGTTTAAATCAAATTATATTTTATACAAACTATAACAGAGAGGGAAGAAATAAATATATTATACATATATATATATATCAGGAAGAAAATGAAAATTAAGTGAAATGAGAATATGCAAATATTTTAGGAAAAAATTCAGTATAATATAATTAAATTAAATAAGTGCTTGTTATTCTAAGTACTGCCGGCTTTAAATTATTTCATAGTTTATAATCCTGCAATAATTATTCTGGGATCTTCAATGGCAGCTTTAATCTTACGTAAGAATAATACAGCTTCACGACCATCTACAAGTCTGTGATCATATGTTAATGCTACATACATCATGGGTCTTATAACAACCTAAGAAAATAATAAATTAACATTCAGACTTATAGAAAGACAATAATATTAAAAGAAGAAAAATATATCTTACCTGTCCTTTGATGGCAACGGGCCTTTCAAAAATGCCATGCATTCCTAAAATAGCAGATTGTGGGGGATTAATGATGGGTGTCCCCATGAGGGATCCAAAAACTCCACCATTACTGACAGTAAATGTACCACCATCCATATCTTCTACATCGATAGCACCTTTTTTAGCCTTTTCACCAAGAGCAGCAATTGCTTTTTCAATGTCAGCATAAGTCATTTCTTGTACATTACGCACAACAGGCACTAGTAACCCCTATTTTAAAATGATTTAATACATTATTTTTACTGTTAAAATATAAATTTTGAAAGCTTATACTTTGGGAGTTGCTACAGCTACAGATATATCTACATAATCTCGGTAGACAATCTCATTGCCTTCTATCACTGCATTGATAACAGGTTGTTCTGTCAGAGCATAAGCTGATGCTTTTAAGAATGCGGACATAAAACCTAATTTTAATCCATGTTTTTTTTGAAAAGCCTCAAGGTTAGTCTTGCGGAAGTCCATAATTGAGCTAAAATTATATATTTAATATAAATGTGGGTAGTTGATTATAAAAAAATATTCAAATTTTACCTCATGTCAATCTCATTAAATGTAGTTAACATAGCATTTACATTCTGAGCATCCTTCAAACGTTCAGCAATACGTAATCGCATACGATTCATTTTAACTCTGTATTCTGATCTTGTACCAGATATTTCTTTGGTAGGATCAGCAGGTGGCAATTTAACGGTAGCAGCATGTTGTTTTGAAGCTTGTGGGGCAGTTACTGCTGGTGCAGCTACTCTTGGAGGAGGTGGTGGTTGCGATATTGGCTGTGATGGTTTTGATGTTACTTGTGGTGGTGGTGGTGGTGGTGGTGGTGGTGTTGTTACAGGATCAGCTGCCACTGGTGTCTCCACAGGTTTTGCAGCATCTTCCACTTTAGGAGCTGTTTTAGTTGGTGTAGGCCCGCCTTCTAAGTATATGTTAAAATGTTAAATTTGTTGAAAAAATCACTTAAAAAAATTATTTTTACCTGTAATTGTAATTGTACACAAATCTTGTCCAGCCTTGACAGTTGCACCATCTTCAACAAATTTTTTCTCAAGAACTCCATTGACTGGTGAAGGAACAGGAACTGATGTCTTTTATAAATTAATAAAAATAATAAGAAGCCGTATTATTTCACTTCAATCTACTTTTAGTTTATAAGAAAATAAAGCTAAAACTATCAACAACTATTATTTATTTACCTTATCAGTTTCAATTTCACAGACAACTTCATCTATTGCTATTGAGTCACCAACATCTATAAAACAATTTTTTTAATACGTTAATAAGTGGATATATCATAGATATCTCAATATTTATTTTAACCTTTGTCTGGTAGTACTTATTGACTACAGGCCATTACAATTACTAAATATCATGTTATTTTTAGATGAGCAAAATAGTTTTTAAATTGTTTATTAACAAATATTATAGCTATCATTGATGCATTTTCGGTTGTATTAACTATAAATTATTGGTTGTTCTTCAATACATGATTAGAACTATAACAATCTTATATTACTATTTAATTTCTGGGTAAATATTTCATACCTAGAATAATTTAATTTTAACTTGACAAATAAAAGTTTTAAACTTTAATAATTTTTTTTAAATTAATCTTTATAATAGTGTGCAGTAATTATGTTAAAAAAATTGTCTAATCTTAAAAACTTTTTAAATTATTATCTTTCCATGGTTATATTTTACATAAATAGCAATTGACCCTTAATAAAATCATAGATTTGATAGAAATTTTATTAAGTAGGTAAATTATCTAAATTTGTTTTTGTATGATTATATACTGCAGTATAGTTATATATTTTTTCATCTTGTACCATGGCACAATAAATCATTAATTTTTTTTTTTCTCTAGTTGTAAATTATTGACTCATACTTACTCTTTTCCCATCGCATGTCACCTTCTGAGACTGAATCAGCAAAAGCTGGTGTTTTTAAAACATGCTCATCCCCTAATAATACATTTCAAAACAAATTTGATAAGTTTGACTTAAATATTTTTAAATTATAAAATCTAAATTTACACAGTAGATTTAAATATAAGTAGAATAGTAAAATTAGTAAAAATGTTATTCTTACAATGGAAAGTACTTGTTTGAAAATAACGACAGTGATAAAAAGACCTAATACTGGATGCAGCACTACTAAGTGAATTTCTAAAGAAAAAAATATAAAATATTAAAAGCCAAAATTATATCAAGTAAACCCTGTTATAGGTCGGGAATAAATATGATTTTGATCACAATAATAAATTCAAAAATATAACACTCACGAAAAAGCTAAATTATGGTTAACTGTAGACAATTGTCTTATAAAAACAGTTTTATTCAGTTGGCGTCCATTGTATAATTTGTTCAAGTCCTGGTTGATGGAAAAACATCGATTAATACAGATCCTACCTTCCTTTGACTATCACTTACCTCAGATTTCTTCAACTGCGTTTGTCTTATTTTTGAGGCGTTCTTAGGTAGACCTTTGACAATGTGCAAAATACAGGCCATTTCACATAAAACACAAAAGCAAATTATTCAACAGCAAGACGTATGCACAGACTTAATACACCGGGTATTGGTCGGATGAATAGAGAGCTTAAGAAATAATAATCAGAATAGTTATTTAATATAAATTATTTTTCGGGTCACCGGAACAATTATTGTCACAATTTTCGTAGCTGCGGCGACGACGAGAGGTCAGTCGGCCGTCACTAGGGCAAGGGTTTATTTGATAGCAGATTGTGATAAAAATAAACACATGTTTTGCAAAATTACACTCGTAACTTGTGACAGACTGCTATGGATTAAGATAGTACCTATCTTAATTTATGCACACTGCGCAGTGCACAACAAGAATATGATATCGTATGCGACAGTTATGCGCGGTATTAAATTTAAAAAATAAACAAAGCATTATATTATCAACGTTCCAGATTCTTACGCAGATTAAAATATTCACTAGTGCACATACAATTCATACATACAAGTCAAGTTTGTCACAGTGCGTGACTGTAATACACGTAATATCGGCATAGTTATCATCAATAGTTGTTAATCGCACACTGACGCCACTAGGCAGTTTATATTCTATATCCAGACTTCATGTCGATAAATCTTTTGAATCAAAATGAATCATCTACCTAACATTTACGTTATAATTGTTGCTTATAATTTTATAACATTTATTGTAATGCAGTGACTGAGTAGCCGAATGGAGTAAGACGGCAGGGTGGTCGCGGTACGCTACTGGTTCAAACCTGGCCTCCAACGATTTCTCTCTTTTTCAGGCGACTTTTCTCTTTTTCTCTCGGGTGATTGGAAAGAAAACAATTGATAAAATAAAAATTTAATCCCCTTGTACAAATAGTAGGAAATTAAGTATCCAAACAGTTCTCCCTTAGTACACAACAGTGTAAAATTATTGTTGCCGCACTCGAGCGGATCCACAGTTGGAGAACTGTAGGTCAGGCTATTTCAGGCCACTTATAAGGTCTAAAACTGAATTATAAGTATATACTTCGTTATAAAAAAACACACTATGGCACTATAATATGTGTTATCAAGTTTATTCATAGTTATCATTGAAAAAATTAACATTTATTATATTTTGTGGAGTCTTACATGAGGTGCTGCATAAAAGTGATTTACTGTACTATACAATTTAACGATTGACGTTATTTAGGGGAATGGGTGGAAACTGGGGTATTTGGCCCAGTATGGTATTAACTTCAGCCAATTCACTTAAAAATATGAGAAGTCTTCAAGAGGCCAATTTTGTCGACAACTATTAACTGTGGGTCAGCTGACCTGAACCTACCCCTAGATCCGCCCCTGGCCGCACTAATATGTTAAATATATTATATTTTTTTTAAACGTCAGTTTTTTATGTTCGACATTTCGGTAAAATCAAAACTTCTCATCATACTTATTTCTTATGGTACTACCTTATTACATTCGAGATGGCTTTTTATAAAAAATCGAGGGTCGTTACATGGGTGTATTTTAGGAGATGAAGGGGTGATCGCCCCCTGAATCTATATTTAAGGAATTGATTATATGTAAGATACCAGTGCCGTAGCCAGAAAATTGTTTTGGGGGGGG